ACAAGGAAACTGAAAGTCAGTGATGGCCAGTAGACATGTTTCCATGGAAACCTAGTTAGGGATTAGCTTATATTGGATTTTTCATTATCCAATTATCCGTGAAAGCGTACAAGGTCCTTTCCTCAGTGTATTGGACCTCAGTACACTCTGCCAATCTGCTACCATGGCTGCTGAAATGCAATGGTGCCCCGTGTTTATTGCAGAGATGAGCAGTTACACCCTGATGCAGGTTATTCACTTTGGAAATATTCTTAACATCTCTTCTTATAACACCTCTGTTTATTCCTATATGCTGAACTTTAATTTTCTCCACCAAACTGTACATTTCACCTCTTTCTCCAGGATCTAATTTAGTAAGTCTCTTGCCCCATCCACACCTTCTTCACAACCTGCCAGATCTATAAACTGAGAATTGTTTTTGACTTTCTTATGACTTACTTAAGACATTGTAATTTTCATTTTGTGATTTTTTGTTGCAAAAATATTGATGTCATTTTATAAATGGCCTATAACTTTTGATAATCAGAAATATCTTTGCTAATATTATGAAAAGTATATATATATATATATATATATATATATATATATGGCTGTGTATATGTGTCTCAGTAATAAAATGTTTGCTTAGCTTACCCAAGGCTCTGAGTTGAGAAAGATCTGGAAAATTATGTTCAAAAAGTTAAAAAATCTGGACTATTCTTAACTATTTCCATTAACTTCCCATTTCCAAAATGGTTTATTTAAAGGACAAAGTAATTTTATAATTTTTACCATAATACACAGAATACTTTCATCTCTGCTGAAATTCGCTCAAAAACACTGCATATGAGTTTTAAACAATATGCATGTGCATTGTATGCATATATAATATACACACATCATATATATATTTTTATACATATGTGAGAGACAAAGAGAGAAAGAGGAGAGAGAGAGAGACAGAGAGAGAGAGAGAGAGAGAGAGAAAGAGAGACTGGTCTATGTAGTAAGTTCCAGCCCACCCAAGGTTACTTAGACTTTGTCTCACAAAAACAAAACACTCAACACACACACACACACACACACACACACACAAACACATTCTTATAAGACAGTGGTTGGCAGAAATAAACTCAGTCTTGATATTTCTTGTATTACTTAATACTGTCAAACGTTTTCTAGAAATTTGAAATGATGGTGTTACATATCCTTGTGAATTTTCCAGGTATGTTGTTACTGTAAAAAGCAAATTCAAGACCTCATCAACACTTCAGCTGAAAAATTTTTTTCTTCTTAACAATATTCAAACCATTTTTTTCTGCTTCAAAGATTTCAGCAAAAATGACTCTCAATTATAGATGGCTTGATTCCTTAGAAAAGTACAGATCTATAAAACTTAGTAGTGTATGTTAAAACTTCAAAGTTAAACTCAAAGGTAATATTTGTTACATAAACTCTGGAAAATAAAGTGAAAATACATTTTCTTACTGTCCTACAGTTATAAATGTACATGACAATTCTCATCTGCTCTCTATCAGAACCATACATTTATTATTTATGAAATATAAAACATACCTTTCAAATTCTTATGCATGGAATAAATCATCCTATAATTACTTTGTATAGCTCTGCTGCCTTTGGGGAGATTTACCTGTCTGTCTTAGAGACAGGTAATGAAGGTAACCTGTATGAATTATGGAATAATGGTCATGTAGCTGGAAAGGTAGCAATGTGAGCTGGCATGAGTTACTACTGTGGGTGACATTCATCATTGACTTAGCAGATGTCCACCAAAATAGCACCAGGTTAAAATTGAAAAAAAAACCACACTGCTTGATGAGTTTTGGAGAAGAAGGCAAAATTTTAATGGTGTATACTAGGTCTTACTCTCAAGCTGTCATGAAATTCTAGAATATTCTGATATGCTGTCCAGTGAGAGATTCCAGCAGGATGCATTGAGATTTTTTATAGTATGCTTGAGAGACTCCTTTCTCCTTCTAAGGCTCCACTCTGAAAAGCCCCTTATAGGGAAACTATATTAGCTGCCCTGGTTCCAGATAGAACTAGTCCATCCCTATTCTGACTGTAGTTGTTCTTCAGAGATTACTTCTGAATGAATCTCCCTCTCATGGACATCATGTATTCACCAGAGCCCAGAATTTACAAACTAAAAAGGAATAATAAGCTTACTTTTTCATATCAGTTTTCTTTCTAATTTGATTATCCTGTCAACCTGACCAAATCGTGCCCAGAAATTATTCAAAGAATTTAAATTTGTATGAGAAAGTAATATTAAATGAGTATGAAATATAATCTAAATAAAAGTATGAGATAATAATTTAAGTTTGTATAAATCATCACATGGTTTAATATTTTTCCTCAGTGTGAGTCTGTGAAGAACATTAAAAATTCCAAGTGTCATTACATTGCCATGACTGCACACATGATACTTTCACTGTAGAATTAACTCCCCAGTTCCCACACTATGCAGATCACATCAGACCACTCTGTTATTTTAATAAGTTCTTGGATACCTCTTAGTGGATTGGCTAAGAAACTGATGGTTTTAAACTAGTTGCAGTAGCCTGAAACAATGGAGTTGGCTAGCAATACAGGTTGTTCCAACTTGGTTCTAGCTGCCCTTTGAAGAACCAGTATGTCTATGGGGTATGATATACACATTATTTTGTAATGGAGAAACAATATGATCTCCCATGTAGCACATTCTTGTCAACATGTGCAATTTCCATATAAGACAAGGGAGGCGACCATGGTGATGGAAAAGCATGACATGGAGCAAGGGTCCTAGGCATGTAATTCATTCCTATGCACATATGTGTGTCTATGACCTGTCTGACAGATTTTTTTTCTGAGGAGTTGAGACATACATATGTTAACTTATCCCAAAAAAGAGAGCACCTGAAGACCAAAGTAATGATTCTAACAATGCCAAATTTGGTGGACCACTGAATTTTTCTTTCGAGCTTACTAACAAGGGTTTGGGTGAGTGGTTACAAGAAGTGGCAATTACACAAAAAGCAACTGTAACACCAGAGAGCTCACCCCCAAATGGGTGAATTCTTCTGAAACTGCAACTCTGAAGCTTCCTACACTATCAGCTGCTCCACAGTGTGAATGTCTTTTCTCTGTTTTACTGATGTTAGTCTTCATTCCCAATAACTGTTTACTCCCATTTACATTATCAGATAAAGCCCTCAATAATCTTTTAAGTTTTATTTTTTCCTTTTCACTTGTGACTTTTGGTGACTTTTAGTTTATCTACAGATGCTCATTAGCCTCCCTTTTTCTCCTGAAGCAAATATTGCCATTCCTAGAGAATGTTGCAATTAAAAGGAACATGCCATACAATTCTATATACATACATGCATTCACATCTATACACCAAGGAATATGTACACTCACAACATTTTAGAATTTTAATTTTAAAAAGGAAAAATATCATATAACTTTTTATGATTTGTAAACTACTTTAAAAATCCAGCTGATAGGATAGGAAACTGGAGAGTGGATTAAAGCTATTTAAATCATAAAATTTATTTAACTATATCAAATATTTTTAATCTAGCACTGATAATATCAGAGGCAAAAAGATATTATATTGAGTTCATTAATTAATTAAATAACAAAAATTTTGTACTAATCTTTCTCTAAAAATTTCTAATAAAAATTTTACCTAAATAAATTAAGATAAATATCATTTCTTCTGAAATTGGACTCTAATATCTTTATACATCTCAATACTGCTTATTGCAATATGGAAAATACTAAATAATAGTGAAAATAAAATTAGGAAAGTTATATTTATGTTTTTGTAGAAAACAATTTTTTGTAATTAGTTTTAATATATAATGTAAATATTATATATTTAAGAACTCAGGGAAAATTATGTGCTTAGAGAGTTTTGAGGAATTTGACAATAAGGCAGAGGGTGAAAGATTTTGGACAATAGCATATTTCAGCAATGAGATTGAAACAGGACCAATAGCATATAAATTCTCATTTTACCAATTCTCAGGCATCTTTGCAACTTCAAAAAGTCTATTTTAAATAAGATGAGGCCATATAGCAACTGAAAAGAAATATACAAGAAGGGTTGATGGGTAAAAATGTTAAAGGAATGAACTGTTTGACAAAATACAATTCAGCCCAGCTAGGTTCATATAAAATTAGATAACTTGTAAGCAATTTCTGCTAGGGAGAGTGACATTATTAGTATTTATACTATAAGCTTATATTAATTAAAGTAATTTTAGCTATATCTCTCCTTAATAATAACATCAAAGCTTCCTAAAAACTTCACTACTCTTTTAAATTCACATTTTTCAAAGCTCTTGGACATATCTTTTCTGCAAACATCCATTACAGAGCAAATGCAGCATTTCACTGAACTGAATCTTTAAAAGGCAATAAGCCAAATCATATGTCACATTGCACAGGGATTGTTCCATGAAAAAATACTGCAGTTTCAAACGACAAACTGCTTGTGTCTCCATAATGTCAGAGTATTTTATGAACTAGCATGCTAAAATTTAATCTAAACTATATTGACTTATAGTACTGAGACTCCATGAAATCAACGCATTGCTCAAAGTTCTGTTTTCTGTCTGGGTAGCTGCTCTTGGGTGAGCTTTCTCGTGGCAGTGTTGCTATTACACAAGGAAATGCTTCACAGCTAAACATTGCCAAACCCAGAATACAAGTCACATGCTGATTCTGAGCATCTGCCAGGTTTGTTTACTAAATTCTCAAAGTTTGAACAAAGCCCTAAGAGACCTCAGACCACCTAGTAACAAACTCCAGACAAAGACAAGATAGCTAAACTCCAAAACATCTGCTTCTACAGCATACCAGCATGCTTAACTTCTTACAAAGTGTTCCCCGCACATTCTCATTACAATATGCCAACCTATTCAGACTTCCGTGTGGATTCATCTGTCTGAGTCATTGTCTCTGAAGCAACTCAATTTCCTCAAGCTGTAGATGGGCCTGAAATTGCTTACCTGACTCACAAGCAAATGTCTTTGACGTTTCGTCATGAAAGATAATTGCCACTGCATGCTTCTTTGTCTCTCGAGGCAGTCTGGTAATATTTTTGATGTTGTGCAGTTCAGTTACCTTGAAAGAGAAGAATATTTTTTCTTTTTACTTTTGAAATTCTGGGGATAGGCCCCCAGAGCCTTGTATGTGCTAAGCAAACATTCTATCACTGAAAAAATTTTTATTTTAATATATGGTATATGTGCTACATTACAATGTTTTAAAGAAAATGGTCAATTATCACTACCTTATGCCCTTAAGCACTGTTCAATAGGTCACTGTACTAAGTTTGAATTGACTCTATCCACCACCAGTAAAGACCGAAACATAATGTCTTCTATTAGGCCTTCAGTTTTAGCCATCACTCATATTGGTTGCTGTATTTGAAATACTCTAGTGATCATACAGAATAGCTTCATGGAGGCTGTGCTGTTATTAAACTTGTATCTGCATAAAGCAATAACAATTTGGTACAAAGAGCATTCTCATTAAATATGTTTTGAATATTGATGAGATTTAGCAAGAAGTCTCTCCTCTAACACCTTACAAGTTCCAGATAAGACTAGATCACACAGCATCTGACAGCTGCCAATGGAATAAATCACAATTTTAACATTTCAAGCTTCCAGAGAAAGAATATACTTTTAAAAATTGTGTACCAATAATTTTCACAAGAATAATTCCAAGAGCAATGAAGGACTTGAGAATGAAATTTCAGCCCAAAGTGGGATATTGATGCATGCTGAACTTTTTTTCATGATGCTTTTGTTGTTTATTTATTAATAAATCTTGTTATTTGACAGTTTTTCACACGTACATAGTGCATTCTGATTACTCTTCCACCTCTATTGTATTTTAATAACCACATTACCAGTGTAGAAATGGGTCTTTCCCTCTTTAGAATTGTCAGCATGTGTAGGCTCTATCTTGAACTTGATTATAAAACATTGATGACATGCTAATAAGCTGATACTTTCTTCATCACGGTATAAAAGGAAAGAAACTTGATGATCAGAGGATATATCAGTCCAGTACTAGATAGCCTGGTAAACAGGGAACCACATCTGGTTCTAATGCCCAGATTCCTGACTTCTCTAGCGATTGGTCTCTAGCGCTGGATCAATATAAGGAGTATTTTCTTGGATAAAGACATCTCTTTTGACTTAGTTGTATAAAAAACAAACTTTCACTTTTTTATACGTTTCAATTGTTTTGAAGAAAATTAATGAAAGGAAAAAGCTCAATTCCCGTTATAACTTAGAATACATTAAGCCCAATAGATTTTTTTAGAACAGTTAAATTTAGAGCTATTGATATCAGTTGTGTAGTGCTTTAGGTATAATGCATATACATATTTCATATATTTCAAGATTTCTCCCTCATATTTGAAGGTAGCCATAGTAATATTGATTAGGATTCCACAGTATAGCTGAAGTTAAAGTGATCAATACCTGACCAAAGCCTGCAATTAGATCATATAAAAATGACATGTACAAAATAAAAGTATGTAGTTATTATTTTAAAAGAGTTGTTCTCTTGTTTTCATGGATTTTTTAAAAGATTTTCAAGGGCAGAGAATTTCAATACCACATGTAACTCATGGTCTGTCATACCTACAGAATTCTCATAAATCATTATTCATATTTTTCTCTTTACTTGCAGTCATACTAAGATTATCATGCATCATATAAATAATACAAATAGCTATTTCAGGTATGATAAAGTTGTCTTTATGTAAAAGCATGTATTCCTATGTATCCATACACAGTACATCATCTACTTATAAATCTTCTACCTATTTCACAACCATCTGAAAGTTCCTTTTCCATGTGAGAAGAACTGTATACAAATATGTTATAATTTCCGAGGAATGACAGTTTTTGGAGAGATGAAAATTCTTTTTATGAAACAGTGACAAACATATTTTGATTGCACACCAAAGTGTATTATCAAATAAAATATAACTCTTGAATTTTAAAAGATGTTTAAACCAAATTTTATTTTAAGGCAATAGATTAAACTTATTTTTGAAAAGAGATATTATTTCTAAATATTACTAGCTTTTCCCAAACAAATAATATTATCAAAACTGAGTCTAAAAGCAATGATGAATTTGTGTTGCTTAAGAATTAGTATAAAATGTAAATATAAAGACCAGAATCTGCTAGAGTGTTATGTAAAATGTCTCACATGTACTAAACAAATAATTTAAAAAACTATTGTTAGGAGACATTCACAGATACTTTTATTTACAAATATAGAATAATACCGAGAAAGATATTATGGACTTTATATTTTTTGTTGTCATAACAAAAATCAACAAATTTAAGTCTTGGACAGATTTGAAAACCTGTCCTGGGTACCAAGGCATGCTTATCATCAGCTCCTCAGGCAATCTGACAGCTGATGCAGCTCAAACAAAGGGCTTGCTCTACTGGAAAATTTACATTTAGAAATGCAGAGATCCTTTGCAAGGAGACCCCAGGCCTAAGGTTTTTGAGTAAATCAGGGCTTTGGTTGATAGCAGTGTGATGGCTTAGCCTCTTTTGCTTAAGAATTTAAAAAGATGATAAGAAAGCACTGATAAGGAACATAAAATTCTGCTTTCTAAAGGGTTTTCAATCCCAACTATTTAGGTTTGAAATACCTGCATTCATTTTTCGCTATCAATATTATCTGGATTTACCATATTGTGTTCAACTGCAATGACTTAAAGGAGAACAACTTTTAAAATAATTTGTACTGCATTAAAGCAAAATGTTTCTTACTATTCTAAAGCCTGACAATGCAACATAAAAATAATTATAAACAGTCTGTAAATTTCTGAAATCTTGGATTTTCCAATACTAAAATCAGTATTTTTTTCATTATTTAAAATTTTGTATGTATTTCTATAAGTTGATTTTATTTTTAAATTTCTAGAAAGGGCACAATATGTTGATCACATTTTAATCAAAGAATTAAAGTAAATTACTTTAAATAAACTAAGCTAACTTGTAACTGAAAATAATTTAAGTTAATTAGGTCTCAAAAGATGTAATAATGAGCAGCTTGAGATACATAGGTTTGACAAGTGCCAAAGCCAACACTTTAATATGAACATATGAACGTGCAGGGTTTTTTTTTAATGCTAGATGGAGCTATATTATTTTTATTTGGTTGTTATACCTTAAGTAATTCATTGGCTTATATATATGCATATGTCAAAAATAAAAATAACCCTTTTCTCTAGGAATGTAGAGGACAGTGCATACTCCTCTTACAGAAGACACAATATTGGCTACAGGAACCCACATTAGATGGGTCATAACCTCTGATAATTCCAGCTTCTGGGTACTCCACCCATGTGCAAACACACACACACACACACACACACACACACACACACACAATAAAATCTTTTTATATTTAATTTAATTTTTTAAGAAAGAAAGAAAGCTATCTTTTTTCATTATACATACCAATTCAAGTTCCTACTCCCTCCCTTCCTCCCATTTCCTCCATTTCCTCCCCCACCTCCTATCCAATCCTCTGAGAAGGCAAGGCACATTGCTTTGGGGAAGGTCCAAGCCCTCCCTAGTATATCTAGGCTGAGCAAGGTATCCATCCAAGGAGAATAGGTTCCCAAAAAGCCAGTACATGCAGTAGGGATAAATCCTGGTGCCAAAGCCAGTGGCCCATCAGTCTCTGCCTCAGCCATGTAACTGTCAAACACAGTCAGGGGGCCTAGTTTGGTCCTATGCTTGTTCCTTCCCAATCCAGATGGTGTTGATGAGTTCCCATTAGCTCAGGTAGACTGTTTCAGTGAGTGCACCCACCATGGTCTTGACCTCTTTGCTCATATTCTCATTCTTCCCAATCTTCAACCAGACTTTGGGAGGTCAGTCCAGTGCTCCGATGCGGGTCTCTGCCTCTGTTTCCATCAGTTGAAGGGTGAAGGTTCATAAACATCATTTTGGGTCTGGGTTACCACACTCAGGATGGTGTTTTTAGTTCCATCGTTTTGCATGCAAAATTCAAGATATCATTGTCTTTTACCGCTTAGTAGTACTCTAATGTGTAAATGTGCCACATTTTTTTTTATCTACTCTTCGGTTTGAGGGGCATCTAAGTTGTTTCCAGGTTCTGAATATTACAAATAATGCTGCTATGTATATAGTTGAATATATGTTTTTGTAAATGTAACCCCAGTAGCATAGACACTGAGAGCAACAATAAATACATGGGACCTCCTGAAACTGAGAAGCTGCTGTAAAGCAAAAGACATAATCAATAAAAAAAAAAAAGGCAGCCTACTGAATAGGAAAAGATCTTCACCTATCCCACATCAGACAAAGACAAAGGACTGATCTCCAAAATATATAAACAACTCAAGAAATTAGACATCAAAATTCCAAATAACCCAATTAAAAAATGGGGTACAGAACTAAACAGAGAATCTCAATAGAAGAATCTCAAAGGGTCGAAAGACAATTAAGGAAATGTTCAACATCTTTAGCCATCAGGGAAATGCAAATCTAAACAACTCTGAGATATACCTGCCAGAATGGCTAAATTCAAAAATACCAATGATAGCTTGTGCTGGAGAGGATGTGAAGTAAGGGGAACACTCATCCATTGTTGGTAGGAATGCAAACTTGTAAAACCACTATGGAAATCAGTATGGTGGTTTCTCAAAACAATTGGGAATCAACCTACCTCAGGATCTAGCAATACCACTCTTGGGCATATACTCAAAAGATGCTCAGTCATAATACAAAAATAAAATCTTAAGCAGTGACAGAATTTAAAAAGGTAGGATAAAGGATCTGGTGAAGATTTCTGTTAATTTTTTCATTGTGAAAATTTCATACATGAATACAATTTTTTTTGAGCAAATCTAACCGTCTAACCGCTATTCCCTCTCGTCCAACTCACCCCACCCCATTCAATGTATGACTTCTTGGGTGGCAATATCACAAGCATGAAACTTGTTTAAATAATAAGTGAAGTGAAAAAAGAAAAATACCTTCAAATTATACACTTTATCCAAATTAATTCTTATCAGTATATATATTATTACAAACAAATATATCATA